CCACCCACAGTGGGCTGGGCCCTCCCACATCACTCATCAAGAAGATGCCCTCAGACATGGCCACAGGCCAGTCCAATAGAGGCAATTCCCCCATTGAGTTTCCCTCCACCCAACTGTGTCAAGTTGACACTAAAGCTATCCAGCACAATTGACCCCTTGTGAATTTGACACACAAACACATCACTATTAAACCATAAGCTTTCCAATTCTTGTCTCCAAGATATGATGTTAACATTAATACCAGAACATAAAACAATACAACCTTAACAACCCCACAGTCCTTAAAATATCCAAACACTTAAAAGTCCATAATAGACTCTTAACTATGGGTGGGTTTCTGTAAAATTCAAAACAAGTACTGTCTTATTTCAAAGGGAAGAATTGGGCACACCTAAGCAAAACCAAAGTCCAGCAAAGTAGCTCAAGGCTGGACACCTGGGATTCACTCATGATCTTCTGGCCTCCAAAGGGTTCTGGCAGGTCCACTGCTCTGACTCTGCCGTCCACAGCACACACAGCTCATCTCGCAGACCCAGGCCAGCTCCATTGCACACCTACTGTGGTCCTTGGTGGTCATCCCACAGTCCTGGCATCTCCAAAAAGCTCAAGTTTCTACTGAAACTGAGAACTCATCTCACAGACCCAGGCCAGCTCCATTCCACACCTGTTGCTGTCCTTGGTGGTCGTCACATGGTCCCGGCATCTCCAAAAAGCTGGGGTCGCCACTGAAACTGAGGCTACACCTTCACCAATGGCCTCTTCTTGCCTCTTGGGGTGCAAAGCCTCAGTTTCACTCCATGACCCCTTCAATCCTGGGGTCTTAACTGCAACCAAAGCTGCACTTTCACCTATGGCCTTTCCTGGCCTCTGTGTGCCAAGCCTCAGCTGTTCTCTGTGACCCCTTCATGCTTTCAACACCAGAACCATGCAGGAGATTGTTACACATTACCAAGTCCTGCTTCCAGCTTGAAACAGAGGCTCAGGTCCCCTCTGTGCGCTGACCCTGAGGAAATACCTCCTGGAAGACTTTACCTCAGTGATGATGGTCTCTTGTTACTTACAGCTGATTTTTCAGCCCCAGCTAACCAGCATCAATTGTCCCAGTAAAGCAAAGGTTTTGCTTCAGGTTCTGGTCTCTTCTTAATCACAGCTGATTCTTCATCCCCAGCCAACCAGAACCCAGATTCTCAATCCAAAATCTCATACGAACAGTGCTGATAGTCTCTGCTTCCCTTTGAAGCATCACAAGCCAGGCCTCCATCGTCTACAACTCTTCAAGCTCCACAGCAACAAACTCTGAGCACACAATGGCTTTTCCAGCCCAAAGTTCCAAGCACTTCCACAGTACTCCCCAAAACACCAAGGTCAGGTCTGTCACAGCAATATCCTGCTCTCTGGTACCAATTACTGTCTTTGTTTCTCCATTGCTGTGACAAAACACTCTGACCAATACCAGCTTGGGGAGGAAAGGGTTTATTCAGCTTACATCTTCCAGGTCACAATTCATCAGGGAGCCAAGGTAGGAACTCAGGGCAGGAACCTGTAGGCAGGAGCTGGAGCACAGGCCATGGAGGGACGCTGCTTACTGGCTTGCTTCCTTGGCCCCAGCTCAGCCTGCTTTCTTATGCAACACAGGCCCACCTGCCCAGGGGTGGCACCACCCACAGTGGGCTGGGCCCTCCCACATCACTCATCAAGAAGATGCCCTTCAGACATGGCCACAGACCAGTCCAATAGAGGCAATTCACCGATTGAGGCTCCCTCCACCCAGGGCTGTCAAGTTGACACTAAAGCATCCAGCACAGTATCCATCCTCTGCTTCTTCGGTGTAATTAAAAATGTTTGTGCATATTTGTATCGCCAGCTGGTTGGAGTGTAAACTCTGAAAGATGAGACTATTTTCCTTCAGTCTCACCCAGGGGTGTCAAGTTGACACTAAAGCATCCAGCACAGTATCCATCCTCTGCTTCTTTCTTCGGTGTAATTAAAAATGTTTGTGCATATTTGTATCGCCAGCTGGTTGGAGTGTAAACTCTGAAAGATGAGACTATTTTCCTTCAGTCTTGTGCCCCCACCCCTGCAGAGTGTGTGATGCATGGCTCCTTGCATATGGTTTGTTGAATGAATGAATGTATTCATGACTAAAGACAGTCATCCCTTTTTATTCTCTTTCTTACCTCAGGTTCAGAAACTAATGCGTAAGAAACGATTAGATGTGGCTGAGTTTAGCATCTACTGGGATGTCGATTGCACTTTATTGGGGGATTTGCCTCAGGCAGAGTTACAGGTATGGTTCTCATGGTTCTGGCACAGGGCTTTGCTGCAGGACAGCTCTGAAGGCATGTGATGCAGGGGCTCTGCTTTGCAGGCTGTGATTCCCATCCCTAGTGCTTTCCACAAGCATCTGCTTCCAGGAGTGTTTGCTTGAGGTGCTTCCCTTACCTGCAGATCGGAACAGTACTCAGTGGTTTGGGTGTGTCCTAAGCTTCTATCAGACTAGGTAGGCTTTTTGTTTCTTTTTCACTTAAAGTTACAATCTTTAGATGTATGGCCAGTTCATTGTTTCTTACTGTTGTTTGCATGTAACATACTGTAGTTAGCATTTTGTTGACCAGCTGGTTTTTAAACATCCAGATTTTGAATGAACAGAGCAGTAGGTCAGCTTCTTAACTAGGGGTTGACTTGTGTGGTTTTTTTAAAAAAAATATTATTTTTATTTTATGTGTATGAGTGTATTGCCTGCATGTGTGTAAGTCCAACATTTGTGTTAATGCCTGTAGAGGCCAGAAGAGCGCATTGGAGCCCCTGGAACTGGAGTCAAAGATGGTTGTGAGCCACAGTGTAGGTGCTGGGATCCAAACCGTGGTCCTCTGCAAGAGCAGCGAATGCTCTTAACTGCTGAGCCATGTCTCTAATCCCCTTGCTTATGTTTACTGTTGAAGCATCACCTTTGGTGGCTTTTCCTTAAGAGATACTTAGAAAGTATCCTGTAGAAGGTGTTACAATTTGTGAAGGATTGAACAAACACTTAGCTTAGTCTTTTTGTAAAGAGATTCTTTAAGGTGAAGTAGAGAGAAAGGATTCATTTTCTCCTGCTCCAGGTGACATACTGTAGAGCAGGTAACATTTGCTGCTATGCCACACAGCCTTTGGCTTAATTTGACTGTTCATCATAAAACTCCACTGTCACAAGAGTGACAGCTAGAGGAAGGCTGGTCTGCACAGAACAGGGTGTTTTTGTGACACAGGAGGCCATGGCCAGAAGCATGGAGAGTCGCAGTCACCACTACGTCCTAGAGCCCGTGTGTGCCTCTGCTCTCTTGAAGAGAAACTGCTCCAAAGAGCCTCTGAGGTCCCGGCACAGCCCGCGGATTGAATGTGATATTCATCTGGAGACCATTCCCTTGAGGCTGTCTCAGGTACATCACTTCCCAGAGGCTCAGCCCCGTGACCAGGCTGGGAGCTGGAGTGAGGGGAAATTGCCCAGTAGATGGGTTGGTACTTAGTGTTCTTCGCAGGAAGAACATGTGACACTTTTCCTTCAGGCATAGCCTGTTAGGTGCAGACCCACTTTGCATCACATAATTAAATTGGGTTCATCTCTACTTAGTTTTGCTATGGTGTTTTTTATGTGCTGAGCATGGAATACAACAGATGGAGTAACCGTAAGTAAGCAGCCCTCAGTATTCAGGGAGACATGCCCAATGTGGATACTTTGGTAACTGGGCGTCAGCTCAGCAAATTAGCTCATATGAATTGTTCTTGTTAGATGTAGGTCTTAACTCAGCAGAAGAATCAATTCTGCTCTAACCCAGTATCTCTCAATCTCTGACAAAAGCTGCAGCACCGGCAGATCATGGAGTTCCTCAAGGAACTGGAACGGAAGGAGCGGCAGCTAAAGTTCCGGAAGTGGAGACCCAAAGTGTCCGTGTCCAAGAAGTAAGGGCGCCTCTGCGTGTCACCTGTGAACTCATCTTTTTTCTCTACATAGATCAGAAATATGCCTTATTGCCCTTTGCATGTGATTAGAGAAGAAAGTAGAGTTACTTTGATTTTGGTGTAATGGGTGTAGTCTCACACTACGTGCGTGCACCACCCAAGGAAAAAGGGAACTGGTGGCGGGGGGAGAGGTGTATGACGTCATTATCGGTAGCTATCCTTTTTAAAAATAGGATTCTATTTTATTTTTTTAATTACATGTATGTGTGTGTATGTGTGGGTATGTATACATGAGTGCATGTGCCTTCAGAAGCCAGAAGAGGGCATTGGAGCCCTTGGAGCTGGAGTTACAGGTGGTTGTAAGCCACCTGATGTGGATGCTGGGAACTGAACCCTGGTCTTCTGTAAGAGCAGTACATGTTCTTAACTGCTGAGCCATCTCTCCAGCCTTCCCCCCTCTCCCATTACTGATAATCTTACTGAATATTTGTTCACGTAAAGCTTACTCTTAGATCCACAGTAGGGAGACTCAGAAGGTCCTTGGTCTTGCTTAGCACAGAGACTATTGGTGCTCAGCGGGGTTTGGTATGGTGTTGTTACACTACAGGCAGTGCTCTCCCACCCTGCTTTTCTGTGTCTTTTTACCCAGTCTGTTTGGCCACATTTATGTACAGTGTCGTATACTTTCCAACTTCCAAAGTCAAGAGAATTCTGCTTTTCGTGTTACAGTGATAAACTTGACCAGTCTGATATCAGAATACTTTTAAAAGCTCATACATATTTTCATGTTCTTCCTTAGAAATTCAGTTGAGAGTCTGTAGTGATCAAGTCGTCTGTGACTGGGTCAAGATGGTACTTGCTGTACAGTCAATACCCATTTTCTTCTGGGGAGGGAACCGCTCTGGGTGAGGTCATCCAGTTGCCTGCTGTGTTGCTGTTGATGCTCAAGAGTAATTTGATGTTTTTGGCAGCGGATTTACTTTTCCACAAGTTAAGTTTAGCTTAATATTAAAATGAGCCTGAGACAGACTCTAAAGGCTCCTAGGAGAAAAGGCGTCTCAGAAGAGGAGTGTGTTACAGGGAGTGTCCTGACTTCATTGGGAAGAGTAACTCTTCGGCACTGGCCATTGCAGCTGTCGAGAATGGTGGAGTTTTGCCTTGAATGCTAACTTGTATGAGATCAGAGAGCAGAGGAAGTGCTGTACCTGGGATTTCTTGTTGCACCGTGCCCGGGATGCTGTATTTTACACTGACAGATACTTCAGCAAGTTAAAAGGAGGCATACTGTCTGCAGTCGACAGGGTGAGTAGCCTGCTATGCTTCTTCCATCTATTCTCTGAAGAGTATGCTTGATTTTTTTAAGAACTTTGTCTTTAAAATTTTATTTATTGTTTATTTATATTTAATTTATTTATTTCTATTTTGGTCTGTTTTGAGACAGGGTCTCTCTGTAGCCTCAGCTGGCCTTGAACTCACTACATAGACCAGGTTAGCTTCGATCTCATAGAGATCCGCCTGCCTCTGCCTCCCAAGTGCTGGGACTAAAGGCCTGCACCACCATGCCTGGCCCTAGTCTAACTCTTTGACTGTCTTGTTAGTCCGTAGCTATTCTCTGTGAATTTTGACCTACATTTCCGTAATTCCAGTTGACTTGATTGACCTTGGACTTTTGGTGGCAGAGAGGAAGCAGAAGCAGGTGCCACAGGTGATGAAGGCCAGCTCACATTTGAATTACCTTTGGACTGGAAGACCCCAGAACCAGCCCTGCCCAGGTTCCACAGGTGGTGAAGGCAAGCCCATGTTTGCATTACCTGTGGACTGGAGACACCAGAATCAGCCCTGACTGAGTCCTGTCCTGGCCCACCCCTCCCTGGTCTGCCTTCCCGTCCCCCGTGAGGGACTGCCGCATTCCTTAGTTTTTTGCGTTTGTGAATGCTTTAGAGCAGTCTCTATAGTTTGGCTTGGGTTATTTCTGTCAACTAGCCATTCCTTTAGTTGACTCTTCCAAGCAAAAAGAAATAGTTCTTTCCCTGGATGGTCCCCAGTGGCTGTGCTGAATCGCCAAGTTCTCAACTATCTTGCCAGCACTCTGAGGTCATGGTTCTCTCCCTTGGCAATTGCTGCCTTCAGCAGTATCCGACATGGCGACTGACACTGGAACGAACCTTGTTAAAAGTTGTTTTTTGTTTCTTTTGAGACAGAGTCTCCTTATAGCCCCAACTGGTCTTGAGCTACAGAGATCTGCCTGCTTCTGCCTCCTGTGACTGACACTGGAACGAACCTTGTTAAAAGTTGTTTTTTGTTTGTTTTGAGACAGAGTCTCCTTATATAGCCCCAACTGGTCTTGAGCTACAGAGATCTGCCTGCTTCTGCCTCCTGAGTGCTGGGATCAGAGGTGTTTTCCACCATGCCCAGCTTATGCGTTGCTTTCTTGAAGGTGTTGTTCTTGCAGAAGACCCAGGTTTGAATCCCAGCACCCACATGGCAGCTAACAACTGTCTGTAACTCCAGTCCGAGGGGATCCGACAGCCTCTTCCGACCTCCTTGGCACTGCACAACATGGGTGCACTTACCTACATACAGGCAATAAATGCATACACATAAAATAAAAATAATAAATTTTTTTTAAAAAAGGCAACTTGAAACCAGGCTTGTTGGCGCATGCCTTCAGTCCCAGCATTTGGGAGGCAGAGGCAGAGGCAGGCAGATCTCTGTGAGATGGAGGCCAGACTGATCTACATAGCAAGTTCCATGCCAGCTGGGACTACAGAAAGACCCAGTCTCAAAAAGACAACAACAACAACTAAAAGAGCTTATTTCACCTTATAGGTTACAGTCCATTATCAAGGGAAGGCAAGTTAAGAACTCAAGGCAGGAACCTGGGGCAGAAACTGAAACAAAGTCCAAGGAGAAACACTGCTTACTGGCTTGCTTCTCCTGGCTTTTTCAACCAGCTTTCTTTTGGTTTTTTGTTTTGTTTTGTTTTTGTTTTTGTTTTATGTGTATGCATGTATTGCCTGCATTGTAGGTAAGTATACCCATGTACCCGTGTGGTGCAATACCTGCAGAGGACAGAAGAAGCTGTCAGATCCCCTGGAACTGGAGTTGCGAACGGTTGTTACCTGCCATGTGGGTGCGGGGATTCGAAACCAGGTATTCTACAAGGTCAGTGCTCTTAATCGCTGAGCCATCTCTCTAGCCCCTCAGCTACCTTTCTTATATGGTTCAGGCCCACCTACCCAGGGGTGGCACACCCCAACAGTATGGACCCCCCCCTATATCAATCAACAATTAAGGAAATGCCCCATAGACATATCCACAGGCCAGTCTTATGAGGGAAATTCCTCAACTGAGCTCCTTCTTCCCAGGTGTCTCTAGTTTGTGTCATGTTTCCAAAAACTAACCAGCATCACATCCTTGTTAACTTAGGAATATGAAGGAGCTGGGGCTAGCATACTTGCTGTGTAAGCTTGGGCCTCAGTTTCCCCTTCAGAAGTTGCAAAGAACGATAACTCAGTGCTTTTCCTTTGGTCTCGTGAGCTAATGTGCATCAAACACCTTGTGACCTTGTCAGTGCTGTGTACAGGGTAGGATGTCTCAGCAACCACCCACTGGAAAGAAAGTACTGTTCTTTGTGTTTGTTCTACTTCTTCTCACTAGTTCTAGGAACTGTGACCTTGTTAGTGGCGTTCTTGAGACCAAGTAAAATCTGTTGGGCCACAGAGAAGCAGCACTCATGGCCCTGGCTCTTTGTCTTGTTTCTTAGTCTTCAGGGAGGGGCCATTGGCTCCTGTGCTGTTGGTGAGGGTGTCCAGTTTCTCCATTGCTGCAGTGTCTGGGTTTCATTTTCCCTCAAACAGGAGGAGATGTGTCGGATTGAGGAGGAGCAGAGCTTTGAGGAATTGAAGATTCTGCGTGAACTGGTTCATGATCGATTTTATAAGCAAGAAGAGCTGGCAGAGGTAAGAAACCCTGTGTCAGAAGCTTCGCCAGTCCTGCATACTCTGAGTGCTTCAGTTTTGATAAGCTTGTGCTTCTGTCTGGGACAAATAGCAACCAGTGGCAGAGCGCTCGTTTGTCCTCACGCCTGCTCCTTTCTGATTGCAGAGTCTGCGAGAACCTCAGTTTGATTCTCCAGGAGCCTCACCTGCAGACCCAGACGGCCGAGGCGGCAGCGGGATGCTGCAGTACCTGCAATCCTGGTTTCCAGGGTGGGGAGGCTGGTATGGACAGCAGAGCCCTGAGGGGAAAGCAGTGGAAGGACTGTTAGCTGAGCCGCCTGAGCACTGGAGCCCTGAAGAGATCCTGGGTATGCTGGGAGCTGGCCTGTCCCTCAGCCACAGTAAAGGATATAGGGCCTAAATATCCATTTCTTATGCAACAGCTTATGGTCATTCTGAAATTCAACCAAAGGAGGCCTTTGGACAGTAGTTTGTTTCCTCTTCGTAGAGGTAGAGAAAGCATGTTCTGGACAGGACTCTATACTTTTAATCATGCATACATTTTTGGGCAGATCTGAGTGGCAGTTGTTGTCAGAGAACTAAACCTGAGTTTTTCCACTCTGAATCTGAAGCTTGAATGCCAGTCCAGATGTGCTGTGTCCCTGTGCTGCTCCGTGCGCTGTGTCCCTGTGCTGCCCCGTGCGCTGTGTCCCTGTGCTGCCCCGTGCGCTGTGTCCTGTGCTGCCCCGTGCGCTGTGTCCCTGTGCTGCTCCGTGTGCTGTGTACCTGTGCTGCCCTGTGTGATCCCACAGAAGCAGTGCTGATTTAAATGAGTTAAAATTGAATAAGTCTAGTTTCTTTTTAAAAAGCATTTTTGTTTATTATTATAGTGTGATGTGTGTGTGTGTGTGTGTGTGTGTGTGTGTGTGTGTGTGTGTTGGGGGCGTTCTGTGTGACACAGTGCATGTATGGAGGTCAGAAATACTTTGTGGGGTCGGTTTTCTCCTACTTATGTGTGGACTCAAGGATCAAGCTTGGTTCATCAGACTGTGCAGCAAGTGCTTTTACCAGCTGAGGCATCTCACCGGCTCCATTTATCTAGTTTCTTAATTGTAGGAGCCATGTTAGCCACATGTGTCAAGCTGCCTGGTAGCTCTACATATGGTTAGTTGCCACTGGGTTTAGCAGATAAAATTGGTACCCATGTCTTTGAAGTTTTTGCCCAAAGAAAGGGAAAGCTGGCTAAACCGCATCGTCATAAGCAGGGTGTCATGTTTTCTCTGAAATCTGTCCTCCCTTACCATGCAGGTACCGAGGAGTTTTTTGACCCCACTGCTGACGCCTCGTGTATGAATACCTACACAAAGCGAGATCATGTCTTTGCCAAACTGAACATGCAGCTGCAGCGGGGCACGGTGACGCTGCTACACAAGGAGCAAGGCATTGCTCAACTGGACGAGAGTGCCTTCATGCAGCTCGAGCTCTCAGGTACTACACTTTGGTCCCACCGTTTATGGTAGCTGTAGGGGCTGGCGAGGCACCTCAGCAGTTAAGAGTGTGCACTGCTCTTTCAAGGGACCTATGTTTGGTTTCCAGCATCCACGCTGGGTAGCTCATAACTGTCTTTCACTCTAGTGCCAGGGGATCCAGTGTCTCTGGCCTCCATGGGCACTTGCACTCATGTGTACATTACCCCCTGTACCCCCAAACATAATTAAAAAAGAAAGAAAGAGAAAAAACGTCTTGCAAACACCGACTTAACTGTTGCTCCTAGGGAAAGTACAGGGTTAGTTTCCTGTGAGGCCCTGGTCATAACATTCCTTGACTGAGCACTACATAAACTTGTTTTTACACTCCCAGTGTGAGTTTTTGTTTCAACACATCCTAGTTAATGTACATCTGAATTTGATATTGGTTCACTAACATGGAACTTGTGGTCTGTAGTGCTGTAACTTAGCTAGTATTTTTGTTTTCTGTATAAAGCATTTCTCAGCCTTTTACCACTTAGGAACACTAACAGCACCTGAACGTGACACTGGCCATTTTATTTATTTACTGTGAATTAATTTTATTCACTCATTTTATGGTCCTGGGGATTGAACCCAGGGACTTGTGCATTCTAGGTAAATGCACTGCCACTGAGCTCACCCCAGCCCCACTGCATTATTTTTTAATATTTTATTTGTTATATTAAAAAAATTTTTTTATGCCGGGCATGGTGGCACATGCCTTTAATCCCAGCACTTGGGAGGCAGAGGCAGGTGGATCTCTGTGAGTTCAAGGCCAGCCTGGTCTACATAGCGAGTTCTAGGTCAGCTGGGGCTACAGGGAGACCCTGTCTCAAAAAGATCAAAGAAAAAAAAAAGAAAAAGAAAGTGAAGGTTTAAAAAAAATTTTTTTTTAAAATTTTTATGTGTATGAATGTATTTATGTGAGTGCATCTGTGTCATGCAGTGCCGTGGAGGTCAGAAGAGGGCATTGGATTCCCCTGGAACTGGAATTAAGGACCATTTGTAGCCACCACATGGGTGCTGGGAATCAAACCCAGGTCCTCTGCAAGAGCAGTCAGTGCTCTTAACCGCTGAGCCATCTCTCCAGCCCCTGTTGTTATCTTTTTTTTTTTTTTTTTTTTATGTGTATGAGTGTATTGCCTGCATCTATGTAAGTGCACCTGTGTTGTGAAATGCCCAGGGGAGGTCAGAAGAGGGCATCAGATTCCCCTGGAACTGGAGTTATAGATGATTGTTAGTTGCCATGTGGGTGCTGGGAACTGAACTCAGGAACTCTGCAAGAGTAGCCAGTGCTCTCCACTGCTGAGCCATCTCTCCAGCCCCTCCATTGGGTTATTTTAGATAGAACCACAGACAGACCACACAAAAATTGAAAAAGAGGGTCCTGAATAAACCAGGAAAGGACACATTTTGCAGTGTGAGAACTTAAAAGAAGGAGGCATACTGTCTTGTTTAGCTCACCTGGGGGCGTGCACATGGGGTGGCTCTACTTTTTAGTTACTGTGTCTGCAAATGACTATGAAAGTGTCACAAGTACTATTTGGAGGTTGCAAATGTACTTTAGTGAACATGTGAATGTGCTTTCCAGATTAGTGAATACTGTAGATAAGTTGTGTTTGGCTGTTTTTTTGTGACTTTGAATTGTGTAAGTAAATACCAGATGTTGGTTTGGACATCTCATAAGTATTTTTCAGTTCATGAAACAGCAGTTTATCTGTGATATCTCAGTAGTTGAAGAAGAGTTGTAACAAACACACAGAGATACCCATACACACAGTGGCTCATTAATTTGACTTCATAGTCTTGAGAGGTGTGTTATTATAAACTTACATGAGTTAACTGATTATTTAAACATATGAAGTCTCTTTAAAATTCATACTGTGGGAAACTTGCAACAGTCTTTGTATAGGTATGTAGACAGATAAGTTTGTGTGTGTGTGTGTGTGTGTGTGTGTGTTCTAATTTCAGCAAAAATACTTCATGGGGGCCTGGAGAGATGGCTCAGTGGTTAAGAACACTGGTTCTTACAGAAGACCCAGTTTCAAATCCTAGCACCTACATGGCAGCTAACAACTGTCCATAACTCCAGTTCAGGGGATCTGACAGCCTCTTCAGTCCTCCGTGGGCATTGCACGACATGGGTGTACTTACCTACATGCAGGCAATACACTCATACACATAAAATTTCAAAGAAACAAACAAAAAACACTTCATGGGATCTAATAGTTCTCTGTAAAATATTATATCTAATATTTATAGGTATAAAACATCAGGCCATTGGAGCATAATACCATCTCTTATGTTTATCTTTTATAGATGTAAAACTTGTAGCAGAGTCTCTTCCTAGAAGAAATTCCTCCTTGCTGTTAGTCCGATTGGGTGGACTGTTCCTCCGAGATCTGGCTACGGAAGGGACCATGTTTCCGCTCCTGGTCTTCCCTAACCCCGTATGTACCGCAGTGGCATGTTGACCATGGTTTTAATGAATTGTATCTGTTTTAGGCAGTGAGAAGTTCTGTTAGTCAGATGATTTTGATATTTGATCATTTGAGACAGGCTGGGCCTAGGTTCCCTTGTTGGATTTGTTGGGAGATGCGGCTGAGGTGCGAGGCTCTGCCTCTGCTGTTCCTGTACTCTAGTCATGGCGGAGCGGCCTGCTCTGCTGGAGAGTAAGATGCTGGGAACATTCTGCATTGCAAGGTCAGTGTTCAGATTTGTCCCATGTCTTCTAGTCATGGGTTCTGACCTAAAGTTGTTGACATGATATCTCATTTTGCCAGGAGTCCAAAAGAGAACTATCTTAGATTCTTTATGTGTGTTTACTTTTGTATATAAAAATCCTTCATTAACTCTGGTATCTTTGATCTCATGAAGTTAGCAAAGACATGATCCAAAGAATTGAATATTTACCCATTTACTCTCTAATTCTTTTTGGATGGTTTTGGAGAATGGGGAGGACAGACTTAAAGTTTAAAAGTTACAAATGTTTAATACGCATTTGGCAAATCATTCAATGTGCTGATGGATGCACAGCATCCATACGAAGGGTCTCCACCAGGTCTGGAAAAGTTGGGGTGGTACAGGTACGCAGTACTGGTGTGAAGGGGATTCTGATTCATGTGTGCTAAGAGGGAAAGCCAAAAGGGGGACGGATGGGGCGCACTGTCCCCTTTACCCACTGATGTGTTTTGTATATGTATTTAACAGCAGAAAGAAGTTGGCAGAGTCTCACAGTCCTTTGGTCTCCAGACATCTGCAGATAGAAGTGGTCAATACCCTGGTAATTTGTCTTATGTTCTTAAAACTGAGGCTTAAAAAATACCATTGTTACTGATCAGTAGATTTTGGGCAGCAGCGTTGGAGGGAGTGATTCTGTTCTGGGCTCAGTGGTTTGCTACATGGGTCTGTGTTGGGCTGGAGGGGCAGCCCTGTAGGACTCTGGATTTGGTTTGCATTGTGGGAACAAATACAGCAGCCCAGCCATTGTGATTCCTGTTAAGAATTAGAGTGAGTCTGTACAAGGCTTTCTTAATTTTTAAAATCTGCACAATTGTATACTAATTGGAAAATAATTTAGAAAATGTCTTTCTCCCTGAATTCTTCCCAGGTCCGCAAGGATAAGGTGATTTTTTTTTTTTTTTTTTTTTTTTTTTTTTTTTTTTTCCTTCCCTCTACTGCTTTCATTGGTTAAATCATCACTTTAGCTACGGACCCAGATAACCCTGTCTTTGAGATGCTATATGAGAGAAATCCAGTACATAGTCATTTTGAGAGGCGGCTACATGTCAGCACAAGACCTTTGAACATCATATATAATCCTCAGGCTATTAAAAAAGTGGCAGACTTTTTCTACAAGGGAAAGGTTCATACCTCAGGTTAACTTTTTTGTTTGTTTGATCTTATGTTACTTTTGGGAAAAAAAAAATCTTTTTTGGGGGGGGTCGTCGCTGGTGCTCTGGACAAGGTTATAATACAGTTGGATGAGCTGCTAGTTGTGGAAGAGGTCTGCAGAGCGCATGGCCAGGACTGTGTTGAGGTGCCATCTCGATGTCCTGGACAGTGTTTTTCCATGTCTCTGCATTTCCTCTCTGTCCCTCTATCTGTCTCTTTATTGGAATGGCAGTTTCTTTGCCCATCCAGGTTATATTTGGTTGCCTGAGAAGGAATGTTCAAGAATTTCCATCTAGATGGCTCTGGTCTCTTTTACTTCCTTTGACTGCAGAGTTCTTAAATAGCATCATCAGTACACTTTTGTCTTCCTTTTTTCCCTAAGAGATTTGACACAGGTAGAGAAAAGTCCTGCTGACAGAGAGTCAGTGAAGCAGGGCACTTCCTTCTTGCCTTTTTTTTTTTTTTTTGTCTGTTTGAGACAGGGTCTCTCTGTAGCCCCAGCTGGCCTGGAACTCGCTTTGTAGACCAGGCTGGCCTCAAGCTCACAGAGATCTACCTGCCTCCACCTCCCAAGTGCCCGGATTAAAGGTGTGCGCCACCACACCCAGCTTTTCCTGCCTCCTTTCTGACAGTGACTGTCTTCAGGGTTTTTTTTTGCCTGGTTTTGAGACTTTTTCATGTAAATGAATATTAATCATAAGTGTCACAGATGCTCTACTCTGTCTGATAAAAGACATTTCCTTGTAAAGGACATTTTTTTCCCTTTAATATAATCTGCTTTGTAAGGTTTTTGAAATACAGCAATTTGAAATTTCTAGGAATGGTTCTAGAAATTTTAGTAAGTTAGGCAGCTTTCCCTCAAGGCTGTCCATCACCCCCTTGCCTTTTCCCTGTCACTGTTATATGCCAGGCCATGTCAGAGTATGCAGCTGTTTTTCTTATCCATGGCTTTTTTGTCTTGGTGGAGACTCAGGGTGAGAATGAGGTAGCAGCATTTTATTGGTCCAGGCATTTGCAAAGTCTGAGCATCATGTGTACTTCCCACCTTCAGGCTTTGGTTATCAGTCTGAGCTCGAGTTGAGAGTAGCTGAAGCAGCTCGCAGACAGTATAACAAGCTGAAGATGCAGACCAAGGCGGAGATCCGACAGACGCTTGACCGTTTGCTCGTGGGAGATTTCATCGTAAGTGGCCTGTGTGATTCTGTTCAGGGATGGGAGGGATGGGGCATTCATGCTCCTGACAAGTTCATTGCCTGTAGTACTGCAGTAGATAGGCTTGCTTTTGTTGGTTATGCTGAAAAATGAATTCCTCATAGCTAGTATAAAATAAGAACCTCATGTCTTTCCCAGAGGAAGTTTAATTAAAAAATAAATGATGTTGACCAGATCATGTTTCTCCTTGTACCAAGAGCACTTACAAGTCTTCCCTGTAGGCCATTTCCAGACTTCATCTGCAAGTATTTCACAGAAGAGCCTCCTCCTCTTACTGTTATCGAAAGATGTAAACTAGAATGAAGTCCACCTTCTATCCCAGAGTGTGATATTGAGAGGCTCTTTGCCCAACTGATGTGAGGACACCGATGGGGAGCCAAGAAACAGCTTAATTGTCCAAACAGGCAGCTTCTGAACATGGGTGTGGTGCAGTCCTAAGGTGTGGCAGTAGATGGAGCCCTTAGTGTGACTGCTTTCAGACAGTGCAGAACCAGCCATGGAAGGATAGCAGCGTTCAGAGTGGATGACTGGGTGCAAGGTGCCCAGTGCTATTTCCTTGTGTAAGTGTGTGTCAGCACTAATACATCAGTTAGTGCCTCTGTTATTGTTGAAAAAACAGTTTTTCTGATAATAGTTATAAAAAGTAGCCCTTACCACATACATATAATTAAGGCCAGCTTTATGAGAAAAGAACAATTTACAGATTCATGGCTTGTGTTATTTATATTTCAAATGTTAAAACTTATGTTTCCCTCAAGGTATTTTGGCATGGAAGTTCATGGTTACCAAGGTCTATGAGTAAACAAAAGTATTTGGATTTCAACATTTATTTGAATTTTTTGTTTTCTATAGTAGTTCAGAGTATTAAGCCTCCTAAATTGCAAACAGAAGCTCTCTTAACCCATGAATCATCAAAGTACAAACAAGCCCTCAAGTCAGGAGTTTGTTAATTTTCCCACTCCACTTCAGATGTTTGCCTCAGGTGACATCTCCAGCCCAGTACAGTAGTCGCTGATGCTGAGTCTTGGAGTTCAGCGGGCTGTTCCTCAGCCTGGCTGGGACTCTGGGACTACTTAGACACCACCATAAAGCTGTTCAGTTATCCCTTACAGTGAGCAATGATGTAACTGAGGAGCCCAGGCTGACCTTGCACTTGTGTTCCTCCTGCCTCAGCCTCCTGAATTCTAGGATTATGGCAGGCTTGCAACTCGTTTATTTTGTTTTTATAGGAGGAAAGTAAGCGGTGGACTGTGCGACTAGACATTTCTGCTCCTCAGGTGATATTTCCTGATGACTTCAAGTTCAAGAATCCTGTTCTGGTGGTTGTGGATCTTGGAAGAATGCTTTTGACGAACACCCAAGGTAAAGTGTCAGAGTGAAGTCATGAAACCCTGCCTTCATACATGGCTCTGTCTGTGTTAGTTAAAACTTGACAAGATTTTTATAACATTTTAAAACTCCAGTTCACCTGTTATTTCTCTGAGACTAACTTGAGATATAATTCACATTTTAAATTGTACAGCTTAGCCAGGCAGAACCCAGACTCTTCCCCCAGCTTTTGGCAACCATTAACCTTTTTCTCTTAGGTTTGTCTTTTCTAAACATTGCATATTTATGGAACGACACATGTTGCCTTTTATGTCATACTTTTTTGTTTAGTGTAATGTAGTCAAGGTTCATCTATGTTTAGCACACTTTGTGGATATGCCATATCTTGTTTAATCTGTTCTTTAGTTAGTGGATGTTTGTAAAAGGCCCCCCCCCGCCCCCGCAGGCACAGGTTTTTGTGTAGGGTTGAATTTTCGATTTTCCTAGCTGTGCGCCTAGGAGTGGAGTTGCTAAGTCGTGTGGTAGTTTTATGTTTAAAATTCTGAGAGTCTGCCAGGTTGTTTTCCAAGCTAGCTTATATTCTTATCAGGTTGAGAAAATTCTAGTTTTTCCACATCCTGTCTGACACTTGTTACCTTTTGATTACAGCCACTTTGTTGGGTGTGTAGGAGTATCTCATTGTGGCTTTTCTTTGTCTCACTGTAGAACACTATTTTAATAAACACTTTTCTACTACTTAATGTTAGAAATAGAAATTTAATCTTTATTTAAAATTTTTTTATTTATTATTACTATGCCTGTGAGGTGCGTTTGTGGATGTGCGCACCACAGAACATATGTGGAAGTCAGGGGACAACTTTGTGGAGTTGGTTCTCTCCTTTCACCTTTATGTGGGTTTGGGGATTGAACTGAGATCACCAGGCTTGCACAGTGATCGCCTTTACCTGCTGAGTTATCTCATGAGTCCAAATTTAATCTTTCTGTGATTAGTTATATGAAAGAAACACTTGGAAGGTAGTTTTATTACTGCTGTTAGATCCAAATAGTATTTATTGTGATGGGATGGAAGAGTGAGGGTGAAGGAAATTAGTGTTTGTTCTTAAAGCTTTTTTCAGTTGAATTTTTGTGAATGTCATACAATACATTTTGATCATACATAGATTTCTATTCTAGTTTTGTCTTCAATTGCTGTAACAAAACACTCTGGTCAGTACCAACTTGGGGAGGAAAGGGTTCATTTGGTTGGCTTACATCTCCCAGGTCACAGTTTATCAATGAGGGAGCCCAAGGTAGGAACTCAGGGCAGGAACCTGGAGGCAGGAGCTGGAGCACAGGCCATGGAGGAACACTGCTTACTGGTTTACTCCCCTGGCCCCTGCTCACCCTGCTTTCTTTTACAATACAGGCCCACCTGCCTAGGGGTGGCATCACCCACAGTGGGCTGGGCTCTCCCACATCACTCAGCAATCAAGAAAATGTCCCACAGACATGGCCACAGGTCAGTCCAATGGAGGCAATTCCCCAAATGAGTCCTCTTCTACCCAGGTGTGTTAAGTTGACAACTAAAGCTATCCAGCACACCCCGTTGCCTATCTGTACCTCCCTTATCACCCCCCCAGTTAGAGGGGCTTAACAAATCTGAAGTTTATCCTCACTGAAAAGATTTGAAAGTGGAGGGCATATGAACAGGAGAAAAGTGATTGCTGAGGAGAAGGTTAGGGAGTGAGACCTGAGTAAAGGGCTTACTGCTTGAATTTATAAAACAACATGGAACAGAGAACATGCCAGGGCCCAGTGCTGTTCCTTTGTGCTTGTCCCAGCTGTGCAGCTGCTGAGTGGGTTGAGAGCCTGGACTCTGGGGTAGAAAAGTCCTGTGCTGAGTGGTTTCTGCTCACCATGCCTGGATGGGGAGCAAGATGGATAAGACCTTTCCTCTCGGAATATTCTAGTGGGGGAACCAAAACGAACCCTGAGAGAAAAGGGAAAGTCTGAGAGTGTAGAGAGTACTCAAAGAAGGCTGTGGCAGCAGCCGCGTCAGTGCAGCTCCGAAGCTGGGAGGAGGTTGGCAGCTGGTGGCCTCTACATCCTAGCATGTGCTGAGGGGTCAGCAGGCCCCCACTTTTCTCACAGTTCTGCATTTTATTCTTCATGTTTGGTTTCCATCTTAATAGATAAGTTCACACTGATGATTAGCAGATACAAAATGTTATACCTGTGGGTTTTACCCATTTTAAAAACAGATTGGTTGCAGCTCTCCTTTTCCTTATTAGAACTAGGGAAGGGTAGGGCTCGGGAGATGGCTCAGCAGTTATGGGGACTCTATGCTCTTGCAGAGGACCTGTGTTCCGTTCTCAGCACCTACATGGCAGCTCACAACTATAACTCCAGTTCCGGGGATCTGATGTTTCCTCGGGCAGCTGTACACACATAAATTAAAAATAATCATTAGGGAAGGAGGAAGGAAGTAGCAGATTCTTATGGTCTTCTCTTTTTTCCCTGTCAAAGACTCAAGGAGGAAAAGCGGGGACGGGTCAGCCTCTGAGGAGAATCAGTTCAGTGATGATGAGTATAAGACCCCTCTTGCCACACCTCCCAACACCCCGCCTCCAGAGACCAGCAGCAGCAATGGGGAGAAAACACCGTCCTTCTCTGGAGTGGAATTCAGCCAAGAACAGCTTCAGGCGCATCTGATGAGCACAAAGATGTATGAGAGGTACTCCCTGTCTTTCATGGACCTCCAGATTATGGTAGGGCGAGTGAAGGACAACTGGAAGCACGTGCAGGACATTGATGTGGGGCCGACCCACGTAGTAGAGAAGTTCAATGTTCACTTGCAGTTGGAACGGAGGCTGATTTACACATCAGACCCCAAATACCCTGGGGCCGTGCTCTCAGGCAATTTGCCAGATTTAAAAATTCACATCAATGAAGACAAAATATCTGCTCTGAAGAACTGCTTCGCTTGCCTCACCCCATCTGAAATGAAGACCCCTGACTCCCAGATTAGAGAGAAGATTTTTCCCCAAGAAGGACCGCGGGGAAGCTTGCAGGACTCAGTGATGAACTTGACCCAGAGCATCGTGATGCTGGAGCAGCACACCCGTGAGGTGCTGGTGGAGTCACAGCTCCTCCTGGCAGAATTCAAGGTGAACTGCATGCAGCTTGGTGTTGAGAGCAACGGCCGCTACATCTCAGTGCTCAAGGTGTTTGGTACCAATGCTCACTTTGTGAAGAGGCCTTATGATGCTGAAGTCTCCCTAACCGTTCATGGGTTGCTTCTGGTGGACACCATGCAGACCTACGGTGCTGATTTTGACCTTTTGATGGCTTCCCATAAGAACTTGAGTTTTGATATTCCCACAGGGAGCCTCCGGGATAGCAGGGCGCAGTCTCCCGTCTCTGGATCTAACGTGGCCTTCCTAACCAACGTAGCCACCTTCAGTGACCAATCAGCCACTAGTGTTTCACTGGAGAAAATTCTCACTAAAGAACAGGAATCTCTTATCAAACTGGAATATCAGTTTGTGAGTTCAGAGTGCCCGTCCATGAACTTGGACAGCACTCTTCAGGTGATCTCACTACAGGTGAATAACTTGGATATCATCCTAAATCCAGAGACAATTGTGGAGCTGATTGGTTTTCTTCAAAAGTCCTTCCCTAAGGAAAAAGATGATTTGAGCCCCCAGCCTTTGACGACTGACTTTGAAAGAAGCTTTAGAGAACGAGGCATGTATCAGTTGACATATGAACAAAACATCGAGGTTGCAGTGGAAATCCACAGGCTCAACTTGCTGCTGCTTCGGACAGTGGGAATGGCCAACGGGGAGAAATATGGCAGGAAAATTGCAACTGCAAGTGTGGGTGGCACCAAAGTCAACATGTCAATGGGCAGCACGTTTGACATGAATGGTTCTCTGGGCTGTTTGCAGCTTATGGATCTGACACAGGAGAATGTGAAGAACCAGTATGTTGTGAGCATCGGGAACTCCATAGGCTACGAGAACATCGTCAGTGACATTGGCTGCTTTGAATCTGTGTTTGTCAGAATGGAAGATGCAGCCCTGACTGAAGCCCTGAGCTTCACGTTTGTTGAGAAATCGAAACAGGAGTGTTTCCTCAACCTGAAGATGGCGTCCTTACATTACAACCACTCTGCTAAATTCTTGAAGGAGCTGACATTATCCATGGATGAACTGGAAGAAAATTTTCGCAGCATGCTGAAAAGTGCAGCCACCAAAGTCACCACAGTGTTGGCCACCAAGACGGCTGAGTACAGTGAGATGGTGTCACTGTTTGAAACCCCCAAGAAGACCCGGGAGCCCTTTGTCTTAGAGGAAGATGACATCTATGGGTTTGGCCTGCCGTCACCTCGTTACGACACTGTGAAGCTCATCTTGAACGTCAACATCGAGTCGCCAGTTGTTTCTATCCCTAGGAAACCTGGGAGTCCTGAGCTGCTGGTGGGACACTTGGGACAGATTTTCATCCAGAACTTTGTGGCAGGAGATGATGAATCCAGAAGTGACCGCCTGCAGGTGGAAATCAAAGACATTAAACTGTATTCTCTTAATTGCGCTCAGCTGGCAGGCAGAGAAGGTGCTGGATCTGAAGCCAGTCGGACATTTTGCCCACCCTCTGGATCTGCCAGTGCCAACAGTCAGGAGGAGGCTCACTTCACACGACACGATTTCTTTGAATCTTTGCACAGAGGTCAAGGTGAGAAGCAGAAGTATGTTTGAGTTCGTTTAAAGGTTCAAAACCTAGCTCCTATAATATTTCACTAAAAACAGCAACAAAGACCTGTTCTTTGAGGGATATTTCCAGTTAAAGCCTTGGAAATCACAGTAAAATTTTAATGGAAATCTTCATAGAGGACTGGTGTATTTTTACTTTTCCTCATTTAATTACCATATTGGACAAAATATAAATTTATTTTGAAGTGTCTGCTTTGAAGTTGGGTGAGTGCTTGTTTATGGAGATGCTTCAGTGGACAGAAATACTGTTACCTAATTTTGTGTATCTAATTTTGTTTTTCTAAGCTGTGCGTTTTTCGTAGTTTAATATTGTAGCTCTAGAGATTAACAGAAGTTGAAAATGAAATCAGGTGCCTGGGTGTAAGCTCCTCTTTTAGTGTTCTGCCATCTTCTTGTTGGGGTTGGTCCAGGGTTCTGGTAACAAAGTTCTGGTACTTGTATTCTGGATCCAGTCAGTTAAACCGAGCAGGTCAGTCTGTTAATCTTGGTGTCTGCAGATCTAGGTAAATTCTGGAGCATGACTCTGTTTATTGGTGAAGACGTTAATGCCCTTGAAAACACCCTGATTCATTTAACCCGGGGCCTTGCCTGTGCTAGGCATGCCTTCTGCTTCTACATCCAGCTCCACTGGTTTGTGTAAGTGTTTGATGAACAGTTCCTGTCTCAGCTCAGGATTAAAGTTGTTTACTTAGATCCTTGCCTGTGATTCTGATTTAGGCCCAGTAAGAGGGCTATGTATCTCTACTAGAGAGCTGGGCTATGTGTCTCTATTAGAGAGCTGGGCTATGTATCTCTACTAGAGAGCTGGGCTATGTATCTCTGTTAGAGAGCTGGGCTATGTGTCTCTATTAGAGAGCTGGGCTGTGTATCTCTATTAGAGAGCTGGGCTACGTATCTCTACTAGAGAGCTAGTAAAGATGAGCAATCTGGTTGGAAAACCAGCTTTTATAGCTAAGAGAAATTTAATGTAGTCTGTGGATTGGATTAGTGTTTACTGTAGCATATATATATTTCATTTATTTGTTATGTGTGTGCTTACATATGCATGTGTGTGCATGCATGCCACAATGGTGCTTGTGAAGGTTAGAGGACAACTTGTGGGAATTGGTTCTGCTACCATGCAACTCAGGTTTTCAGACTTGGCAGCAGGTGTGTTTACTCTCTGTGCCAGCTCTCTGTATCATGTTTTAAAGCTGCTAAGTAGAACGCACCTCTTCTGTATTTTTTTTTTTCTGTGATTAGCCTTGGAGTTCTGCTTCCTCTGAGTTTAGTGTCATTCATAGATCTCACTGGCCAGGCCAGATTGTTGTCCAATGAGCTTCATTTTTTCCATACTACTTGTAAGCATCAAAAAAGTAAATATTCGTGTTTACAGTCTGTTTCTGTTCTCTTCTGCCAGCCTTCCACATCCTGAACAACACCACCATCGAGTTTAAACTGGAGAAGATCCCCATAGAGAGAGAATCTGAGCTGACTTTCTCCCTCAGTCCTGACGACCTGGGGACCTCCAGCATCATGAAGATTGAAGGAAAATTCGTCAATCCTGTTCAGGTGAACAAACACCTGATTGATTTTTTTTTTTTTTTTTTTTAGATCAGATCAAATATAGGTCTCCCTTGTCCGAGATTCTAGACACCAGAAGTGTGGATTGTGGAACTTTGTAGTATTTGGAACATTTGCAAAACCTTTATTGATTGAACATCTCTAATCTCTAATCTGAAATGCTCTAAAACAGGAAATGTTTTGAATATTGTATCAGCTGTGGCAGTTTCAGATTGTAGGTTTTTTTGGATTTTAGGGGTATTTTGGATTTCAGATTTGGAACACTTAGCATGTATTTATTTTTTAAAAAGAGTTAATTAAAAATTATTCTTTAAGCGCCAGGCGTGGTGGCGCATGCCTTTAATCCCAGCACTCAGGAGGCAGAGGCAGGTGGATCTCTGTGAGTTCGAGGCCAGCCTGGTCTCCATAGTGAATCCAGGACAGCTGGGGCTACAGGGAGACCCTGTTTCACAAAAAACCAAAAAAAAAAAAAAAAAGTATTCTTTAATTATGTATATGTGGGGGGCGCTGTATGGCACATGTGTGCCCTTGGAGACCAGAGAGGGATTCATACCCCCTTGGAGCTGCATTTACAGGGGGTCGTGAGCTACTTGACATGTATACTAGGAACCGAGTTTGGGTATTCTTCAAGAACAGTACACACTACACACTCCCAACCAATGAATGGGCCATTTCTCCAGCCTCACCTGTATTTTATATGTCTAAATATATTGTAAGATTATGTTATATATTTATGTATTTACTGCTGGAAGTAAAATATGTAAGTTCATATTAATGTTATTGATAACTTGTTCCAGTAAACATGGAATCCTGGTCTAGCTATGTAGCCCAGGCTGACCTTGAACTAATAGTCCTCCTGAGTCAGCCCTTCCAAGTGCTATGATTATGGGTGTGCTCTGCTGCACTCAGCAACTTGTCCTTTTATCATGTCATTTTATCCCTGGACAATCTTAGCTTTCTTCATGTGGAGTCAAGGTGAGTTGTACAAAGGAAGAAAGTAGATCTTTATTTCCATCACCATTCGGGAACAGGGAAATTATTGCCTAAAAAACCAGTCTCTCTTTCACAAGAGGATATAATTATCACCCCACTTTGGATGTCCTTAGATCAGACTGTTGAACAGTGAGCTGTTAACAGACCCATTCAAGTGTGTGTGTGTTTGTGTGTGTGTGTGTGTGTGTGTGTGTCCCCTTTCTCCTTCAAAAGTGTCATTGTTTTCCTGGTTTCACAGGGACTACAGGAAGGGATATTCAGTTCTAAAACAAAGGCAGTCAGGGTCTTAGGAAGGTGGACCCTATTCTCAGGCTGTAGTTGGTCAGGAGTCTGTCTAGTAGTTGCTCTGGAGTAACCCAGCCATGTGTATTGTTGGCATCAGTGGTGTGGGACTTGGGGTGAGAAAACCTCCTCCCAGCTCTTTTTTGAGACAAGGTCTCATGTAGCTCAGGCTTATCGCTAACTTGCTATGTTGCTAAGGATGAGTTTGAATTTCTGATCCTCCTGCTTCCACTCCCAGTGCTAAGATTACAGGCTTTGCCACTATGCCTAGTTTATGAGGTGCTGGGGAGTAAACTCAGGGCTTTGCACAGCACTTTAGGCAAGCACATTACAAAATAAGCTTCATTCTCAGCCAAAAAAGCTATAAGAAATGAGTTTAGATACTACAAAAGTAAGGTTTTAAGATGATTGTTTACATTGTTTGGCAATTGATTTTAATGATACTTAAGTTAATTCTTTAAACTATTTTCTTGTGGAAATTTCTTTAAAAAAATTTTTTTATTTTATGTGCACGTAGGTAAGTGCACCTGTGTCATGCAATGCCTGTGGAGGACAGAAGAGGCTGTTGGATCCCCTGGAACTGGAGTTATGGACAGTTGTTAGCTGCCACGTGGGTGCTGGGATTCAAACCCAGGTCTTCTGCAAGAACAGTCAGTGTTCTCAAGCCCTTGTTTTCTGTGACCTGCACAAGTATCCCTGGATTCTGGATCTTTGTTAGCATTGCTGCTTTTTTGACTAGAACCCTTAAAAGGTGCTGCTGTGCACCTCTGATTACATTGTGTCAATGGCATGTCATGTCTGGCTGTCTAAGATGCTGCCATTGATGATGGTGTGTAGGTGGCAAGAGCCTGATTCCTCACTTGTAAAATTCTGTGTCAGTCAATCCTGTAATGCTTTATTCCACTAATGAACTTTTTGGGCATGAAGATTAAATTAGGGGTTACAAAACAGTCACTTCCCAATTCTGTCATAATTTCTGCATCTATTAGTTTGAACTCCTGTGTTAATTGCCCCTAATTAATTTTAAAAACTTACTTGGAAATATTTTTAAATAAGAAATTATAGCTAAAAGAAAGAGGCTGAGGGTGCAGCTCAGTGATAGCATGTTTGCCTATCATGCACAAGGCTCTGGATCCCATCCCCAGCACTGACAGAGAAAAAGGTAAGAAAAAGAAACAGAATCACCTTGACTCATCATCATTATTTGAAAAGTACTAAACATTGTTCCACTGACTGATGATCACAACTAGTTGTGACCCTGTGCTGCACCCACATTGGACTTCCCGAAGTATTCTCTCATTTCTGCAGTTGTTTTGTGTGGTTAGAAAGAATGGCTTTGTCAACTGAAGCATACAGTGAGGACTTCCTGGACATGACTGTGTAGGTTATTCTGTGGGGCGCTAGGTAGGGTGAGCCTTATGAACAGAAGTGGGCAGAAGGAAGGAAGGACAGAGAAGAGATGATAGCTCTTGTTGCCAGCTAACTGAGACCTTAGGGAACAGAAACACCGACTGGGAATTTAGGCTGTGTAACAGTAATAGTGCTTGAGTGGGCTGGAGGGATGGCTCCGTGGTTAAGAGCGCATGCTGCTCTTCCAGAGGGCAGGAGTTCCATTCCCAGCACCCATGTTGGGCTGCTCAGAAACACCTGTAACTCCAGCTCCAGGGGACCCAACCCCCTCTTCTGGTTTCTATGGATACCTGCACTCATGCATCTACTACCCCCTATATACACAATTAATAAAATAAAGCTGGAAAAGAATGGTGCTGGAGTAACTGAATTGTCCCCTTTGAATGCAGGTGGTGTTAGCCAAGCACGTGTATGAGCAGGTTTTACAAACGCTGGACAACCTCGTGTACAGTGAAGATCTGAATAAGTTTGCAGCCAGTGCTCCGTCCTCCCCTTGCCCTAACTCCCCTGTGCCTGCCATCAGTTCCTGTGGAGAACCTTCTGCGGAGAGGAAGGAGAACGGATTGTTCAGCCACTCGAGCCTCTCGAGTGCCTCTCAGAAGTCCTTGTCTGTGAAGGAAGCTAAAGCCTTCACTCAGATTCAAGCCAACTTCTGTATCTCGGAGCTTCAGGTTCAGCTGAGTGGAGACCTGACTCTGGGGGCCCAAGGTCTTGTGAGCTTAAAGTTTCAGGATTTTGAGGTGGAATTCAGTAAAGATCATCCTCAGACCTTATCCATTCAGATTGCTCTGCACTCTCTCCTGATGGAAGACTTACTGGAGAAAAATCCGGACTCCAAATATAAGAACCTGATGGTATCCCGAGGAGCCCCTAAGCCATCTAGCTTAGCACAGAAAGAGTATCTTTCCCAGTCCTGCCCTTTGGTATCCAACGTGGACTATCCTGACATGCCTCGGTCTCTCCCTTCCCACATGGAGGAAGCTCCTAATGTCTTTCAGTTATATCAAAGACCCGTCTCCACAAGTCGGAAAAAGCAAAAAGAAGCCCACGATAAGAACTACCCCCTGACCCCACCTCCTTCTCCCTCAGTAGATGAGCCCAAGGTGCTTGTTGGAAAGAGTAAATTCGATGATTCCTTAGTCCATATTAATATATTCTTGGTGGATAAGAAACATCCAGAATTCTCTTCCAGTTACAAGCGCATTAACCGGAGCATTGACGTTGACTTTAACTGCTTGGATGTGCTGATCACCCTGCAAACCTGGGTCGTGATCCTGGACTTTTTTGGAATTGGCTCCACTGCGGACAACCATGCAATGAAGGTGCTGCCTGAGGACCTTCTACAAAATGTGAAGTCGGAATCCAGCGTGTTCATGGAGTCCGAGCTCCAGGACCCAGTGAACTCCAAGCTGGATCTCAAGGTATCTTTTAAGTTCTGAAGATGAGCTCGAATCTCTCCTTCCATGCGAGCATTGCACATTCATAGCCTGTTGGCAGGGGAGCTGCATGGTCTCTACCTTTACGGGTGGACATTCACGACATTAATGTCTTAGGAAAGTTTGTTGGAAAGCCCATCGGAAGGCAAGGGAAATGCACACTGTAAACAGCTTGTCTTTCCCTTGGGCTCTGTGATTCCGGGAGACCTTTGCTTCGGAGGCTTGTTCTCTCATCTCCCCTCTCCTTGGATGACGTGAGTTAGTGTATGCAAAGCACACAGGAGCAGCTCGTAAGTGTGGCTTTTTCTTGAGCTGCCTATTCTCTCAGAGCATCATTGGCTTCACTGAGGGTCCTGTAGTGACCATTAAAGTAAGAAGTGTGGAAGGATCGACTGCCTGGCCTGGTGTCCAGGCACTTTCCGTGTACCCAGTAGCTGTGGCCTTGGAAACTCATGGGACCACTTTCCCTCTCGGTTTATTTCATCAGTAAGTTGGGCATGTGCAGGAGTACCTCCATAGAGGGTGGTCTTGTGCAGTCCCTGAGATGGCATACTCGAAGCCCTCCACACAGCACGTGGCACGCAGTAAGCAGCCAGTGAGCAGCAGCTGTTACAGCTTTATTATGACGTGGATCTCCATGCTTTAACTTGTCCTTACTACTCACATTGTAAATATTGAAAAAGAAGAAGGTAGCATTTAAGGCAGGATCTCAGGCTGTCATGCCTGATGGAGCAGTAGGCGGTTAACGTTAGTTGACCATTTGGGGTATATAGGCCTGTTGCAACTAGCACATTTCTAGAATTCTAGCCGGTGAGCAGCAGCTGACGACTTTTGTGTGCCTTGGGGAGGAAAGTCTGTCTTGTGTATGGACTTGCACTTGCTGCTGAGGAGAAGCCAGGAAGAGGATTCCATTTTACCCCTTGCTGCTGTTGTCTTGTTTCTTTAGCCCACAGCAGGCTTTATTCTTCTAGAAGTGGAAAGCTCTGGGGAAGAGATGGGAAAAAGCCAGTTTGCCTCTTGCTTGGGAATGGGTGAGCACTTTACTGTGCTAGGAGACTCTGGGGCCTTGGCCCAGCTAGGTGACTGAAGGTGTCAGAGCATTTAGTCGTTCTTTGGACTTACGTGATGTGATGGTGACTTTGTTGTGGTGCCTGTGGGGATTTGCCTCAGGAGCGCTTCCCTGCCACCTTAAATGTGCTCCCTGAGGGCATAGATGGCAGCACAGGACAAGACCAGTTTGTGGTCCTCAGCAGTGTGCCCTTTGAAATAAGAACCTTTGAACATTTTTAAAAATATTTTATTTATTATTTTTATTTTATGTGTATGAGTGTATGGCCTGCGTGTATGTGAGTGCACCTGTGTCGTGCAGTGCTGCAGAAGTCAGAAGAGGGCTTCAGATTCCCCTGGAACTGGAGTTAAGGATGGTTCGTAGCTACCATGTGGGTGCTGGGAATCGAACCCAGGTCCTCTGCAAGAGCAATCAGTGCTCTTAACCATTGAACCATCTCTCCAGCCCCTGAACATTCTTATTGTAAAGAATTTCTGATATATCACAGAGAAAACAAGTCCTGAACCCCAGTGGCCTCAGCACAATCACCCATCACATCACCTTTACTCCTTTTGTCTTCATAAAGTATTTAAGGCAAATTCTAGGGCTGGCAGATGCCTCAGTGGGTAAAGGTGATTGTTGCCACACCTGACGACCTGACTTTAATCCTTGAGATCCACAGGGTGGAAGGAGAAAACTAACTCTCGGAAGTTGTCCTCCTGCCTCCACACATGTGCTGTGGCATGCACCCGGAAATGCACGCACGCACGTGCGCACACACACACACACACACACACACACACACACACACAAAGTGTCAAAAAAATTAAAGCCAATTCTAGGTATCACTGCACCTTTACATACTCCAGGATTCATTTCTAGAAAAAGTAGACTATTTTTCTTACATAATAATCACAATAGATTGTCACATCTACCTATATCGACAGAAAGGCCCTGGTGTTATGTAATACTAGGCCACCCTCTACCTATATCGACAGAAAGGCCCTGGTGTTATGTAATACTAGGCCACACTCTACCTATGTCGACAGAAAGGCCCTGGTGTTGTGCTTGTGTAATACTACGCCACCCTCTACCTATATCGACAGAAAGGCCCTGGTGTTACGTAATACTAGGCCACACTCTACCTATGTCGACAGAAAGGCCCTGGTGTTGTGTAATACTAGGCCACACTCTGATTTCCCTGAGTATTGCACAAATGCTGCAGAATCTGAAATCTGAGTTCCCTCCTACAGGCTCCATCAGCTGCTGTGGTGTGACTGGGCACAGGTGCAGTTGGTGTAATGAAATGTTTGGACTGACAAGATGGCGGAGCAGGTGAAGGTAACCTGCCACCATGCCTGATGATCAAGAATCTGAGTTTGATTCCTAGGATCCACAGGGTGGAAGGAGAGCACTAACTCTCACAAATCATCTTCCGCTCTCCATATACAAGCCATGGCGCGCATTCATACACACGCATACATACACATAGGGTTTACCTTCAACTTTCCAAGCCTTTCTGTGTTTTCCTTCATTCTTTACTGCCGTTTCCCTGAGAGGAGCTCACCTTTTTTGTCTTCAGTAACTCGCCTTGCTTTCTGTCTTGTGTCCTAGGTTCATTCGCTCTCTCTTGTGCTGAATAAGACCACCAGTGAGCTTGCTAAAGCAAACGTGTCCAAATTAGTAGCACACATGGAGATGATTGGTAAGTGCAGCAAAGTCAAACTTGCAAAAATTGGTATTTAAACTTCCAGGGCAAAACTTATTGTCTTCACATGCCTAGGAAAATGTAGATCTGTGATATATTTGAGGGAGAAATGGGGTACTATTAAAAATGAGACCGGGGGCGGCTGGAGAGATGGCTCAATGCTTAAGAGAACTGGCTGTTGTTGTAGAAGACCTGGGTTTGATTCCCAGCATCCACATGGATGGTGGCTAACAGCCTTTTATAACTCCAGTTCCAGGGGAATCCAGTGCCCTCTTCTGACCGCCATGGGCATTGTGGGACACGGGTGCACTTATACACATGCAGGCAATACACTCATACACATAAAATAAAAATAATAAATGAAAAAAATGAGACCTGGGAAACAGGAAGGTCATAGGACTGTCTGAGAAAGCAGGGGTAAGTTCACTATGTCTGCACCCTTCAGTAGGGGGAGCTAGCAAGAGAGGGCATGGCATTCTGTAGCAGGGAATTGTATACAGCCAGGGTTCCGTCTGGTGGACTTTTGCAGGTTGCAATTCTTCTTAGAATACAAATAATCAACTCAATTAAGTTTTGAGTGGCAGGGGTTTATAGGGCATGAATTAAAACACCCATTCCTTCCTTAAGGACTTGTAACATGGTAGCAGAGGTTGCAAAGCTGAAATGTTGGTGCTGTCAAGAAAGCAGCATCCTAGCTGGGCGGGGTGGTGCACGCCTTTAATCCCAGCACTGGGGAGGCAGAGGCAGGCAGATCTCTGTGAGTTCAAGGCCAGCCTGGTTTACATAGTGAGTTCCAGGACAGCTGGGGCTACAGGGAGACCCTGTCTCAAAAAGACACCCCCCCCCCCCCAAAAAAAAGCAGCATCCTTTGGAGAAGGATGAGCTGAAGTAGAGCTGTCATGCCTGGTGTTAATTACTTCAGAAAAGCTTCCTGGAAGAGATTTGTCTTTCTAATTGGGAGAAGCATGGTTTTTATGTTAGAAGAGGTTAGGACTCAAAAACTAATGTGCATCTTCGTTTCAGAGGAGCTGACTCAGCCTGCCCAGTGTGTGCCTGGTGGTCATGGTAGGAGTGACAGCATGGTCACAGTGGATTTGGGCTTGTAGAAGTAGTGCAGAATATTCATTTCAGTGTCCACACAGTGTTAGAACAATTTCTTTTTTTCTCCTGAGACAGGGTCTCACTATGTAACCTTGGCTGGCCTAGAACTCATTATGTAGACCAGGCTAGTCTCAAACTCACAGAAACCCACCTACCTCTGCCTCCCAAGTGCTGGAATTAACAATGTGCACCACCACGCCTGGCAAAAAGGATCACTTGAGCCCCGTTCCATGTCATGTGCCCCAGCATCCCTCCTGCCAGCACACTCCTTCCAGTCTGCCGTCAGCGCCTGTCTCCATGCATCAAATGGTTGTCTTTTATGGAGGTACTCTGAAACCCACTCAGTGCTGCGTTGTAGCTGGCTTCTTTCCAACACTTCCTCCTTGATTCTTTTATTCATAGTGTGAGTAATAGGCTGATGCTTCAGTCATTTCTCACCAGCAGCCTGGTCTCAAAGAGAGCCCGTTTCTATCTGTGTCTGTCAGTGTTTCCCCCTTCAAATTGTTTGTGCATTTAGTTTAATTTCATTCCCCTTGTAAATGTTACTATGTGATGCTGCCAGTGTATTTCAGCTCCTTTTAGACCTTGGCATTGAGACTCTTAGAAATATCACATAAAATATTTTATTGGGTGTTCTGGCATCTGAAAGTTTACTTCTGATACTTAGTTTGATTAAAAACTGAAAGTCAGCTACATCTGGTGGTACACACTTTTAAAACCCAGCACTTGAGAGACAGACAGGTGGATCTCTATGAGATGGGGACCAGCTTGGTCTACCTAGCGAGTTCTAGGCCATCTGAGGCTATAGGGAGACTCTGTTTCAGCCCCCCTCCCCCCCCAAAAAAACCCAAAGAAAAGAAAGTGAAAGTCTGAGGCATGTGCATGTCACCTTTTAACTCCAGACATTTTAAAGGTATTTGTCTATCATCTATCTACACGCACACACACACACACATATACACACACACACAGGTCCTTAATAATGTATTCTAATTTTGACACCTGTAGAAGGGGACCTGACCCTGCAGGGAAGCATTGGGAGCCTGTCTTTGAGTGACCTCACATCGCATGGAGACTTCTACAGAGAGCGCTTCACCACAAGTGGAGAAGAGGCACTCATCTTCCAGATGTTCAAGTACAAACACTTCTCTCTTGATAATGTGTTGTAATCATTTGCTGCTTAGAGTTCTTCTTTATTTTCCATATGTTTGTGCACTCATGGGCACCACAGTGCACACATGGAGGTCAGAGGAGAACTTGTGAGAATTGGTTCTCTCCTTCTATCATGTGGTCCAGGATTGAGCTCAGGTCACCAGGCTTGGCAGCAAGTGCCTTTACCCGCCAGCCCACTGTTTAAAGTTCTTATTGATTAAATAGTGAAGAAAAATTCAAGGTTTTTCTTTCTTAAGTAAAACTGAAAAGATCCTGTTTGTAGGTAGTGCTAATTTATGTTAGATTCATTAAAGAAGATTTGCATTGGGGTGGATTACTTAGTAAATATGTGAGTATGATTGAAACAATCCTGATATAGAAGGCCTGGACCACACCATCTCATGTACCCTGAGGCTTCTTAGTCTCCCGTCACTTTTTCTCTGTGAATAATGAGGGACTGGAATAACTCCTGAGCTTCCCAGGTAGCCCCAAGTGTTCTGGAATGAGTGCTGCTTGTGCTAGTAATGCCAGAATGCATTTTCTGTGTAATAAATCTGAGTTACACTGAGTCCCTCGTTGAACTGTGGATGGCATTTAGGACTTGCTGCTTATTTTGAATGACAGATTTTCAGATGGTGGTTTCAGTTTTTTTGAGCGGTATTAGAAAACTTGGATGCGCACTTGCATGCTTCTGCCCATCATAGAAAACACGGATGTGTGCTTGCATGCTTCTGCCCATCATAGAAATTCTTTTTTTTTAAAAATAAAAAAATTTTTATGTGTGTGAGTGTATTGCCTGCATGTATGTAAGTGCACCCATGTCGTGCAGTGCCCTCGGAGGTCAGAAGAAGGTGTCGAATCCCCTGGAACTGGAGTTAAAGGCGGTTATTAGCCTCCATGTGGGTGCTGGGAATTGAACCTGGGTCGTCTGTAAGAGCAGTTGGTCTTAACCTCTGAGCCGTCTCTCTAGCTGCCGTCAGTGTTCTCATTTACTTGGTCTAGGCCCATGTCCAGTTCCTGCCCCACTTTAGTGTGCTGATGTTCAATCAGGACTGAGAACAACTCTTCCAAGGAAGTCTCTGAGCTGGGCTGTGACTCACTGGCAGAGTGCTTGCCTGGCACGCACGAGGCTCTGGCCTCATCTTCCACACAGTGCTTCCACCTCCTCATGCCCCACAAAGAACAGTGTGAGGATTTTTCACTGTTGACTGATTATCATGCATCCAGCAGAGCTTTACCATACTCTACTGAGAATTTAGAGTTTAGATTTTAGATCCATTTGTTTATTTTATACCCCACAATGGCATGGTTCTATAATAAATGAGATGATTAATGTAAAACTCCTTAATTCTCTGCTCGGCACAAATATGCATTCCTTAGCAAGTGTGAATTCCTTTCTCTGGTGACTGTCCTGCATAATCATTTCGTATTACAGCATCGTGGTTCATTAAATTCAAAATAGTTGTAAAGTCTTCTAATTTATCTTTAATTTACATTCTCCATTCCAGTCTACATTTCACTGAGGTAAAGAGATGACTTCTTTCTGATTTCAGAAGATGCTTTTTCCCGGAAGCACTAGTTCTGATGTCTCCATTTCTCCATGGCTTTCTTTCTAAAATTTTAAAATTACTTTCTAAGTCTGTGTCTCACAGAGTCTGCTAGGAACAGCCATAGCTCCCTTAAAGGCAGGGAACGGTGTGTGCAAGGTCAGAGCCCAGGTGGATTAAGTGAGTCCTTGGGGGTGGGGGTGGGTGAATGTTCCCCTCAGCGGTGCCCACTGTTTATAGCCCTGGGTATCACAGCAGGCTTTTACTTAATGTCCTCAGCACCATGCAGAAAATTATAAAGACTCTTGTTTTTAGAGATTTCCATTTTGATAATTAAATCTTTCTTTTTGGGCATGTCCTTGAATCAACCCACGTTTCCTTCCAATACTCTTTGGATCTTGCTGCTGAGTCCCATTTTTTTGTTAATTTCTAGATATGGCCAGCCGGACCCTCTGCTCCGAAGGGAGCATGATGTTCGAGTGAGCCTGCAGATGGCCTCTGTGCAGTATGTGCACACACAGCGCTTTCAGGCAGAGGTGGTGGCCTTCATCCAGCACTTCACTCAGCTACAAGATGTCTTAGGGCGCCAGCGAGCTGCCATAGAGGGCCAGACGGTGGGTGGTGTCATGTCTCCAAGTTGCTTTTTCAATTTGGCTGCTCAATAAAACTTTTTAAAAAGAGTGTGTGTGTGTGTGTGTGTGTGTGTGTGTGTGTTTGTTTGCTTGTGGAGGCTAGAGGTCACTCTTAATTTTGAGATAAGTTCTCTCACTGAACCCAGATCTTGCCAGTTTGGCTAGAGAAGGTGACCTGCAAGCCCCAGGGTGGGATCCTCCTGTCTCTGTCCCTAGTGCTGGGATTGCAGGTTTGCACTACCATGCCCAGCTTTTTATGTGGCTTCTAGGGGATTGAACTCAGGTCCTCTTGCTATGTGGCAAGCCCATTTTTCTTTTCTTTTTTTTTAGTATTTTGAGGCAAGGTCTCCAAGTGTAGATCAAGGTGACCTTAAACTTTTGATTCTCTTGTTTTAGCCTCACAAGTTCTGAGATTATAGGTATGTGCCACCACGTCCAGCTCCATGATTCATTTTTACACTTTGAGTTATTTCTGTAGGATTAATCCCTACAAATGGTATTGTTTGATCAAATCCATGAATTAAAAAAAAACAAAACAAAACTGAAGTCTGACCATGAGGCAGTGAGCTAAAGCAATGAATAGTTTTTCAACTTTCAAAACCAACTCTCTAAACACTCCTGGAAGTGTGCATTAAACACTTATTTTTTACATGTGGCTAACATGATAGCAGTTTTTCTTTTGTTTTAACATTTTTTAAAATCTTTTGTTTTAGACAGTGTCTTACTGTGCATCCCTGCCTGGCCTCACATGTGTACAGCATGGGTGGCCTTGTGCTCATGGCTGTCCTGCCTCACTCAGTCTCTGGCGTGCTCCCTATGCCTGGTATAAATGCAGCAAAGGTGCTTTACTGAGTAAATGGATTTACCTTTTTTTGGAGTAAATAAAAGTCTTTTACCTTTTGCTTTATGAAATTGCAGAGGACAGAAGGTCAAAGGAATGCCTTTCTACTTTGAATAAGATTAAATATGTGGGCTTTGAAGCAAGCGGATCTCAAGAATATCCAGTCCTGGCTCCTGGAATCAGAGATTTATAGAGCAAGCTGGCCAGCTACTTTCATTTGCTGACGAGATTGAAAGGCTGTTTTACTTGAACTTTAAGCTCTTTTCCAATATTGATTTGGTGGTAGGCATATTTGACTTAGGTAGGACTTTTTAAAAATTTTGCTGTTGGTGATTAAATTCACGGCTTTGTACAAACCCAACATGCCCTCTACTGATCAGCTACGCCTCAGGCCCAAGAGCAGGATTTTTATTCCTGCCTTTTCTCAAGCCTATAAAACTACAGTGGGACTTTAGATTTCTTTTTAGAATGATTTATTTATTTTTATTTCATATGTATGAGTGTTTTGCCTGCATGTATGTATGTACCACATGCATTCCTGGTACTCTAGAGGCCAGTGAGAGTGTGAACAGGTGTGTCAGAGTAACCTTGGGGGCTGTCAAGATGATCAGTAGGTAAAGGCACTTGCAACAGAAAGCATTATGTCCTAAGTTTGATCCCTGGAACGTACATAAAGGTGGAAGGAGAGAACTAACTCCGCAGAGAAATGTGTCGGCACTCATGCCCCCTCCCCTCAATAGTAAAAAATCAAAAGTTTAAAAAAGATTTTTTGGGGTGGCATAACTCAGTGATAAAGCACTAAGTCCAATCTCAGTTCTGCCCCCTCCCCCCGAAGTAGGCTTTTGTACTACAAAGTTATATTTTTCTCTCTTAATAAAGCAACACAGGCCTAGTGGGTGGGCTCAGTGGGTAAGACCTCTTGTTACATTGTTTTTACATATGTTCTGTGTACTTTAATATATTTTATCATCTTTCTGAAAACATGTTCCCATTTCTCTTGTGATTTCTTCTGTAATTCATAGGCTGTTTAGACATGTGTAGTGTAATTTCCAAATATTTGAGGCTTTTCCTTTGCCATCTTGTCCTGTTTCTCATTTACTCTGGATGTCACAGAAGAAGTTTTGTCTGCTCTTTGTTTTATAAATTCTCGAACACTGTCGGAATCTCTGGATAGTTGATTCTAAAGTTGGAGACTTGACTGAGCCTCTGGCAACTTTCTTCCTCGCAGGTGAGGGACCGGGCACAGCGTTGTTCCCGGGTCCTTCTGGACATTGAGGCTGGCGCTCCTGTTCTGCTCATCCCAGAAAGCTCCAGGTCAAGTAATTTGATAGTTGCAAATCTGGGAAAGTTGAAAGTCAAGAACAAGTTTCTCTCTGCTGGTTTTCCTGGGACCTTTTCCTTACAAGATAAGGTGAGCAATCACTGTCTGTTTCCTTTTCAGCTTAATGAGTGTTTGAACAAGAACTGAAAAATCCCATACTGCCCTAGATGCTCCATAGATGCTGTTACATTTGAGGCCCTGTGACTAGAAGATTTCTTTGACATTTTACCCTCATTTCTTTTATGTGTATGAGTGTTAAGCCTGAATGGCGTAAGTGTACCTATGTCATGCAGTGTCTGCGGAGGACAGAAGAGGGTGTTGGATCCCCTGGAACTGGAGTTATGGATGGTTTTAGCTGCCATGTGGGTACTGGGATTCGAACCCAGGTCTTCTGCAAGAACAGCCAGTGTTCTTAACCACTGAGCCATATCTGCAGCCCTTTACCCTCACATCAATGAACCCTTTCAACTGAAATACTGTAAATTGTAACCCTTACTGACTGTAGTAACTTGTTTCAGCAAACAGCCTAGTGGAATCAGCCCTCTGACTATGTACAGTACATGTAAAAGCATTCCTGGGCTGAAGAGATGGCACAGCAGGTCAAAGTGCTTGTCTCCAAGCCTGATGGCTGAGAGTAGTCCTTGAAACCTATGATGGAAGGAGAGAACTGACTTGCAAAAGTTGTCCTCTGATGTCCATGTCGACCATACCATGCATGCCCTCCCCATCACACACAATAATAAATAACAATTTAAAAAATAAAAGCATTCTTCTCTGTTAGCTGTACTTTACACTGCTAAGCTGTTTTCATCATTTAGCCCAGTGTTTTTCATCTGAAGACGTTTGGAAACATCTTAGTGGTAAAATCTTATGTATCCTGCTTTGCAGTGTTAAATGAGCTGGCACTTTGCTTACAGTAGCGTTTGGAGGTACTCAGCATGAGGCTTGCTAGCATTTTCATTTTATGTTTGAGAGGGCTGGACCCTGAGCTTAAACACCTGGCAAACTTCAAAGTTGGGAGGACCTGGATGCAGTCTGATGACACCCTCTCCATTTCTACATTTCGGTCGTGTCGTTTCTGGAGGCCAAGATTCCGTTCTCAGAGTGAGCTGCCACCATTTCTTGCTGGGCTCCAGCCTTGCATTCGATCTGCTTATTTCATGCCCCCGCTAAGAATTCCTCTTTTTGGGAGCTGGAGAGATAGCTCAATGGTTAAGAGCACTGACTGCTCTTGCAGAGGACCTGGGTTCAATTCCCATCACCCACATGGTGGCTACGATCCGTTTTTAACTCCAGTTCCAGGGGAATCCAAAGCCCTCTTCTGACCTCCACGGCGTTGCATGACATGGGTGTACTCACATACATGCAGGCAATACACTCATACACATAAAATAATAAATAAAATATTTTTTCTAAAAAAAAATTCCTCTTAGCTGGGTGTGGTGGCACACGCCTGTAGTCCCAGCACTTGGGAGGCAGA